GTAGTCTCTGTGGAGCAACTTGCCTGAGAGCTCATGTCACCACAATACAGAGCATGCTCTGGGATATGAGTCGTTTGAAATGGCTTGATTTTTAACGAGAAAGGATATTTTATTTTCCTTCCAGAGAGGAAGCTACTTCCCACAGCCGCTGAGAATGCCTGATGATCCTTTAGGGTAACTGCTGCATGGTTTCCCAAGCAGAGGATGCCTGCTGTCATGCCAACCTGCCTCTTCCATGGGATGCCATTGTCTCTGTAGCTATTCCAATATTTAGCCCTGGTGGGTGACATTAATCTGTCCATGCACATCTGTACTGCCCAACCCCATCTCTGCTGTTGGGCAAGAGCAGCCCTGAAGCCAGAGTTACAGAACCTCCATATCCACTTGTTGAAAGGGGGTCCAGCTGGGGCTCTTCTGAAGAACAATCTTGGGTGCTCTCTACTGCTTGAATGCAGTCAAGGCAGCCCCCACTGAACAAGGTATAACCCCCAAATAGCCCAAAATCGGTACATTTGGGAGGCCACCTGCTGCCTGTCTGCCCTTATGTTGCTGTGACATTACTGATGTCAGCTAGATTCTGTGCTCTGGGCTCCARCCTTGCCTATCCAGAAGTGTTTTTCAGCAGGGCTGGCAGCATCTTGCAAATGGGCTCTGAGTAGCCCACATGCATCATGCTAGGCTGAGTCAAACTTCTTCCTGAGCTCCGGGAAGCAGCTGAAGGATCAGCATGTTTGCCTTGCAAGCAGCCATTAGCTGAGCACTGGATACTATGTGCCTTTTTCTCTGCTGAAGGACTCAAGTGTCCTTCTCTGTGTGATCTTGCATTTTTGGAAGAGATGCATGAACAAGAGATTATTTAGCAGTCTGATTAGGGAGGTTGTTTTGGACATTGCCTGAATTTATCTGTCCTTGAATACATCTTCCAGGCCTGGCTTTCCCCACACTTTGCAAATCCTCCCATTTACTGCTCATACTTTGCCATTCACTCGTCCGCTGCGATCATCTCTGCTGGTGTGCCAGTTTTTAAAATGCAGTGTGTTCCCAGATCCAGGCAGTGGTGAGGCTGGGTGTGTGTTCCCAGTAGGCTCACACACATACACACATAGACATGTCTGGCCACGCCGACTGACCCCAGGCAGAAAACACAGCGCTGAACAAACGCCAACAGCGCTGACGGCCTCATCCTGTTCTGGCTGATCAGGACAGAAGCCCATTAAGGGAAAGTAAATATGTATTTGTGTRCATCTGTACAATATGGATCCCTCTATAGCCAGTCTGAGACCTTGTTCTGTTGTTAACAGCTGGATCCCAAGTGTCTCCTGTTGCTGGCACGTGGAAAAGCTATGTCAGAGGCCTACGGTTCCGTTGTAGTTGCTGGTAGTCAGATCTACAAACACCCACAGGAACCATGCCTCCTGTGTCCAGGGCTGGCTTTAGGACACTCAGCCTGTTCAGTAAGTGACTTCTGGATGCCCAGGTGCCTCACCAGAGATATAAACCAGATAACAAGTTTCTCTGGCAGCTAGAGCAGGGCTGTGGCTGTACCAGCAGCTGCCCCACCACAGTCTCCTCAGTGCACTACTCACAGCCCCTTGTCTCTCCAGCAGCCAACTCAGAGACCCTCTGGTCCCTGCATTATCTTTCCTGGACTCACAGCTGCTCCAAAACTTGACTCCCACCTGCACTGGCTTGCTGTTTGCCATGACTGTGCACAGACATGCAGATTCTCACAGTATGTGTGCTCTGGCCTCTCCAGTTGCTCCATCAAAGACACACAGGTTTCTATGACTTGTGGCATCTATCTCCAATTACTGGCACTCAGGCCATTGTACACACACACACAGGGGATATAGATGACACTCTCACCCAGAAAAATAACTGAAATACAGTATATTAAGAAAAGACAAGCTGAAGTGATCAGGTACAAGGCATAGCCAAACAAGCACCTGATCAACAACTTGTGTATACCCAGTCAGGCCATTTAGCTCTGTATCCTTTTATTTTTCAATACCAAACCATCTTTATCTCCCCTTATTCTCACCTTTGATTCCTCCCCTAAATATTCCAAAAGTTGTCTTGTACAATCCCAAAGGTGTTCTTCCCCTCCTTCCCCTAGAGTTTCCCAGCTCCTGCAGGCAGTAACTCCTCTCTATACAGCAATCCACAGAGCCTCTTCCACTGACTGGTGGTGGTGGGTGTCATGCCAGACTACAGGCTGAACCCTCACTGAGAGGATTTTTGTTGGGTATGCCATTGGATTTCTCCACCTGCCTCTGTTCCTTTGTGCTCCTTTCCATTTGTGGAGATAACCCTTGAATCACAAGGATTGTGACCAACAGGAGGTCAGACTCATTTGATCATCTGAATGTAATAATATTTTAAGAATAAAAGTAAGAAGGAACAAATGGACATAGGTAGACTGTAAGCAGAAAAAAAGAAGTGATGAGAGTGTATTACAGAGCCTTTTGTCCACATGCCTCCTGAAGAGCTGTATAGGTTTCACTGCCAATGTCTGTCATCTTTGAAAGGTTTGAGCAGCAATCCATCAGTCAAACAACATTTAGGGGCCAAAACTTCAGCCAGTTTCCCACTGAAGTACATATAAAGCTATAGAGCTGTGTGCCTGATGGAGGTGAGCAACAGTTTTTCCAACAAATTTTCACCTCCCATGTACAAGTTTTATAGTTATGTAAATTTCTGATTTTCAGTCAGACCTGAATCAACTTGCAGCTTCTCCATATTTTACTCCTGGTAATCTGAAAGAAGACCAATGTTAGTCACTGAATGTAAATGTATCTTCAAATCCTTTACATCCATGYTTGAATTTAGTTAAGAGTTCATCTGATTTAGGAGGTGGAGGTGCCAYTATAACCTATGTCCATAGAAGCCTGCATGTTCTCCTTAAGTCTCCACAGACTTGGTCTGGGATTTTAAAGATGCTTAGGTGTTTCAAAATCCTATTATGTACCTTACTGCTATGGATTACTTCTGATCATATTATAAAAGCCCATTAAACACCTCTTGGAAATTTAAGTAATCTAAATATCTTTAAAATTTCTCTCYAGGTGCTTCATCTGACTGAGTCCATGAGACTCATTCTATAATTAGATTAATATAGAAACACACTGTAAATTCTGTACAGTGGATTCTCACTTGTTATATTTGGCTCTCTCAGATATCTCTTTCTCACATACCTATAATATATATTGACCTCTAACCTTCATAACTCGTAGTCTTTTTTTATTTCCCTTTCACTTCATAGGTTAATTTAATACTTACTCTACTTTTTTCACTATGCACAAAATAGGAGGAAAACTTTCTTAATATTGCCTTTGCAGATTTACTCCCTTTATTGTTGTTTCTTATTTACTTTGCAATTTGCAATTTTAACTTCACTTCTGTTGTTAAAAAAATTAATTAATATATATAACCTGAAAAATTCCTAAAATGTCRTATTAGCTACAAACCACCAGCTCAAGTTTGCAAACTCATGCTCCAGCATTTTGAACAATCATTTTACATGACTTACATTCTCAAGGTATCTCTTGCTCCCAAGTGTTGAAGCAAAAGACTACTAGAAGAGATCCACACTTGTATTTTAGGGAATGGCATGACCATTTTTGATAGAGAGGATACAGATTAAGGAAKATCTGACTGCTAGGCCACATCTGGATTAGTCTGACATTTCAAGCTGGTAAAAACTCAAGACAGTTTCTTTCCACTGAACAGCTCTTTGGTGCATCAGTGTGGTGGGCTTCAATGTGATGTGGTTCTTCACTCCTGAGAACTGACAAGGTATCAGACAGTAGCTGCAAATAAAATACTCACACTGATCTTGTGTGAGATGCATCTGTCTTGAAACAGCTGTGTACATTCACAGRATGGTGCCATGTGGAGTTGCAGAGCCTTCAGTGTTCTTTTCTTCAGTTTTTTCTCAGGTACTCATGGCTCGTGCACAGGCTGAAAAGAAATAGATTCCTACTGGATAATGAATTTCACGGGGCAGGACAAAATGTGTAAAGTGCCCATGCTGCAGAATAAAAGGATTTTCCAGTAATTGCAGCTCAAGCAACAGTCATGTCCCACAAAGTCACATGGAAATTTGCTTTAATGCCCTGGAAAAAAACCAGCAAAGT